AGAGTCACTGTATCAGAAGGAATTGGCTGACACAAAAATAACATATGATCAAGAGCCTATGGTGATGAAGGAGGAAGTTCAAATTGTTCTGAAGGAATTGGCAAAAAGCAAGGCTCCAGGAGTTGATGGTATACCAATTGACAATTTCAACAGACACTGCCCTGGATGTGCTCACTAAGTTGTGCCAAGAAATCTGAAGGACACCAGCTGGCCGACTGACTGGAAAAGATCAATATTTGTTCCCATTCCAAAGAAAGGTGACCCAACAGAGTGCAGGAATTATCGAACAATATTATTAATATCACATGCAAGCAATATTCTGCTGAAAATTATCCAAGAATGTTTGGAACAATATGTCAACAGAGAACTGCCAGATGTGCAGGCTGGATTTAGAAGAGGTCATGGTACTAGGGATATTATAGCTAATGTTAGATGGATCTTGACAGAAAGCAGAGGATACCAGAAGAATGTCTATCTGCGCTTCATTGACTATGCAAAAGCTTTTGACCGTGTGGATCACAGCAAGCTGTGGCTGACTCTGAGAAGAATGGAAATCCCAGAACACTTGATTGTGCTAATGTGAAACCTATACTTAGACCAAGAGGCAGTCATCAGAACAGAGCAAGAGACACTACATGGTTCAAAATCAAGAAGGGGGTTTATCAGGGATGTATTCTGTCTCCATACCTTTTCAATCTGTATGCAGAACAGATCATTCGAGATGCTGGGCTGTTCGAGGAGGAATGTGACATCAGGATTGGTGGAAGAGTCATCAACAACCTGCGTTATGCAGATGACACAACCCTGCTTACTGAAACTGAGGAGGACCTGAGCGCTTGCTGCAGAGCGTCAAGGATTGCAGCCTCCTATATGGATTGAAGCTCAACATCAAGAAAACAAAGATTCTCACCACTGGGCCAATTAGCAGCATCAGTATGGATGGTGAAGAGATTGAGATAGTTAAAAGTTTTCGTTTGCTTGGCTTCACAGGCAACACTCTTGGTAACAGCAGCCAGGAAATCAAGAGACAAATTGCATTGGGAAAGTCAGCTGTGAGGGACCTCTCAAGAGTACTGAAGAGCAACAACATCAGGCTGGAGACTAAGGTGCACCTGATCCAGGCTATAGTCTTTGCAATTATGTGCTATGCACCAGAGAGTTGGACAGTGAATAGGGATGACAGAAGGAGAACTGATGCCTTTGAGCTGTGGTACATACCATGGATTGCTAGGAGAACAAACAGGTTTGTCCTGGAGAAGGTGAAGCCAGAATGCGCCTTGGAGTCAAGGATTCTGACATACTTTGGGCATGTTGCAAGGAAGGACTGGTCCTTGGAGAGGGACATCATGTTGGGCAGAGTGGAGGGGCGGTGCAGGAGAGGAAGACCCTCTATGAGATGGATCAATTCTGTGACTGGAGTGGTGGGAATGAGTGCATTTGAGATGGCTAAGTTGGCAGAGGATAGACCGGCGTTTAGAGCTCTTGTACATAGGGTCACTATGAGTCACAAGCGACACTATAGCACATAACAACAACAACCAGGGTAGAACTGTCATTGCTGTTCGTTGCCATGAAGCCAACTACAACTCATAGCAACCCTATAACAACAGATCTGAACCCTGTCCTATCCTGTGCCATTCTCACAATCTTTGACATAGTTGATTCCAATGCTGCAGTCACTATGTCAATCCATCTTGTTGAGGGTCTTCCTCTCTTTCACCATCTGTCCACCTTTCCTTTCCTAGCAACATGCCCAAAGTATGTGAGGCAAATCTTTATTATCTTTGCTTTCATGGAGCACTCTGGCTGGACCTTTTCTAGGACATACTTGTGTTCTTTTGGGAGTCCAAAAGATATATTCAATATTCTTCTCCAACACCACATCTCAAACGGATCAATTCTTCTTCTGTTATCTTTATTCATTGTTCATCTCTCAGATGCCTAACAAGTGACTAAAAAAACCAATGTCTGAATCAGGCTCACCTTGGTCTTCAACCTGACATCACTACTCCCAATAATTTGCAGACTTTCCAAGTGCAAAATGTCTCCTAATCTCCTGACTGCTGATACCGTGTGTATTGATTGTGCATCCAAGTAAAATGAAGTTGTTGACAGTTTCAATCTTTTCTCCGTCTATCATGATGTTGCCTATAGGTCCAGTGGTGAAAATTTTTGTTTTCTTTACATTGAGATGCAATCTATAATAAAAGTTGCAGTGTTTGCTCTTCTATAGCAAGCATTTTTGAAATCCTGATACTTGGTCCACAATAAAAATGAAATTGGCATTAAATAATGAAAAAAGCCTTAACATCTTTGCTTCCAAGGAGCACGCTGTACTTTCTCCAAGACATATCTATTTGTTCTTTTGGGAGTTCATGGATATTCAGTACTCTTCTTCAACACTACAGCTCAAAGGCATCAATTCTTCTGTCATCCTTATCCATGGTCCAGATCTCAGGTGCATAGCAAGTGAAGGAAAAGACCATGGTCTGAATCAAGTGAACCTTAGTCTTCAAATTGTCAACATTGCTCCTCAGTAATTTGGACAAGTTTCTGACTGCAGATTTTCCCAGCGCAATACATCTACTCTCCTGATTGCTCGTACCAAGACTGTTGTTAATTGTGGATCAAAGTAAGAAGAAGTTGTTAAAATTGTCAATCTTTACTCTTACCACGAGGTTGTCTATTGGTTCAGTGGTAAGAAGGTTTTTTTTTTATGGTGAGATATAATCCATATCAAAGGGTGTAGTCTTTGATCTTCTTCTGCAAGCACATCAGATCCTCCTTACTTCAGCAAGCAAGATTATTCCACCTTAATGCAAGTTGTTGATGAGTATTCCTCCAATCCTTATGCAAAAAACTCTTCTTTTCAGAGTCTAGCTTCTTGAATGATTTACTCAGCATACAAATTAAATAGGTATGGAAAGAGGATACAGCCCTGATGCATACAGTGCTACTCTTGGTCTCTGCACAACAGTCTCTTGACCTGAGTATAGGTCTTAAGCATTCTGGGATTCTCATTCTACTTAGTTAGCCATAATTTGTTATGATCCACATAGTCAAATGCTTTTGCACAGACAGTAAATAATGAATAGATATTCTTCTGGTATTGTCTGCTTTATGCCTGAATCCATCTCAAATTAGCAATAATACCCCTGGTGCTACACAGTCCCTTTCAAACCTGGCTTGAACTTCTGGCAGTTCTCTCTCAGTTCTAGCCATTTTAAAATAATCTTAAGCAACATTTTCCTTGCATATGATATTGATACTGTTTGATAATTTCCATAGTCTAAAATTTTGTAAATCCTAAATATTTTCAATTCAGCCTTACATATAATTAAGCTGATAGCAGAGTTTCAATAGTAGGAACCCCAAAGGAAAAATGCTGAGGTCTTATCAAATGATTTGTGACTGTAAGACCTGAACTAACCTACCTATCACTAAATTTGTGAAAAAGAAAGCAAGATGAGTAATCAGGTTGCATGAAGGACTCAGCTTTCCATGTTGTTGTTGTGAGATGTTGTCAAGTAGGCCACAACTCATAGCTATGCACAATAGCTCAGAACCTTGCTCTATCTTGGGCCAATCTCATTGTCTCTTCTGACACACCCACCCTTGTTACTCCAGTCATTGTGCCAATCCATCTCATCCAGGGTCTGCCTCTTCTTCACTGTCCCTCCACCTTTCCAATCATGTTTCATGAAATTTTTCTGTGTCAACCAATTATTTTTGGTATAGTGACTCTATACTCCTTCCATCTTCTTTTAATGTTTTCTGGATTATTCAATATTCTACTTATAGCATACTTACGGATTGGAACCCAAATCTTAAATTTGAAATTTTCTTCAGTGCCTTCAGCTTAAGAAATTCTGAGCAAGTTTATCCCTTTCGATTTTCCAAGTCCAGCTCTTAGCATATTTCATTACAGTACTTTGCTTTTGTCTTCCTGAGCTGTCCTTTGAAATCTTCTGCTCAGGTCCTTAACTTCTTGGTTTCTTCCCTTTGCTCTGCCTTCTTGGTGATGTACTACAATATTCAGAGTCTGTTCTGACATCCAAAGCAAAGAGTTGAGAGTCAAACAGTACCAAGATTGAGACACAGTGGTAAAGATCAATAGCTAAAAAGAATGAACTTTGGAGTCAGACTTTCAGTTTGAGGACCATTTATTAGCTGTGAATTTTATGTAAATTGCACAACTTAAAATAACAATGCCACTGAGATGCACATGAAGATATTATGGAAATGGTGTATCTTATGCTGAATATAGTTTCATCACAACAACAAAGTATTAAAAAAATAAAAGGGGGAATAATGAAAGAGAACTCCTAACAGGGGTACTTCTTTAAGGAAGAGATATTGGCCTTAAAGTGCAGATTGTTGTTGAGTACACAATTCTCGAATGATTTGCTCAGCATACAGATTTCCTTATAAGTCAGAACCAACCCATAGCTGACTCTCCATCAGGTTTTCAGAGGCAGTTAATCACACAAGAAGAGATTGCCCATTCTTTTCCCGTGGAGCAACTGGCGGTTTCAAATTGCGTGCATTAGGGAGTGCCATGCAGGTTCTTGCCATTAGGCCACCAGAGCAGATTAGTGAAGAAATAGCCAGAGTCATATTTTAAGTTAAAATAAACTGTTTATAGTGGAAAAAAACAACAACAGTAAACAAAACCAAACCTCAGTATAGATGGTCCCTCTTCTATACAGTGATTGTTAAGGTTTTCCTCTAGGTTTATCTTTAATCAACGAACAACTCATTGTTTTCAAGTGAGAACTCATTCATAGCTGACCCTCTAGTGAGTTTTCAAGTGTGTAAATGGGAGAAGACTGCTGAACTTTCTTCCATGGAGCAGCTGGTGTATGTGAACCACTTGCTTTAAGTTGGCAGCACAACACTTTTAGCCTCTAAACCATCAGTGCCCCTTTACCTCTAGTCAGTATTATTAAAGTTGTGGTGTTTTAAACCAGAGTGTGACACTGCGGCTTTGCAGTACTCACCTGTGGAAGCAGGAGTCCCAGGTGCTGTTGTCGTTGCTTACAGTTGGAATGCGGATGGGGCTGGCTTGCATCTTCTTCCTACCAAGAAGCACATGGGAGGATAGCTATGGCCAAAGAGGCTTAGCAACTTGTTTGTTTCCCTATTTGCTGTTTTCCTTCCAATAGGGTGCTGTACATGAAAATAAAATTGCCCCAATGCAGATCCCATCCTAAATCCAGAGCGTACATACATGAATGTATGGAGACTGCTTTGTAAGTGCAGAAATTAGATTGATTGCTACATTAAAGTTGGGCTCCTTTCTCTGAATTTCTAGTTCTCCAAAATGTTCCCATTCTTCTTAGAAATGAAACACACTTGCATATTTCTAAAATATTTATAGCTCATGGATCATCAAAACTGGTTTCCGACTCAAGTCAGACACTGGTTTTTAACAATGTGGACAAGATGGCTCCAGGCAAACCAATCACTTCTCAAGGACTGATCTGAGACTTAATTTAAGGACTAGGTACAGATCAAGCCTCCTCTTCTCTGGGGCATTTCACTATTTACTAGAAGGCCTTGACTCAGCAGCTAAAGCACAGGTGTCACTTTTGGCTCAGTTGTGGACTGATGGAGGAAATGTTTGGAATTTATGGAGAAAAATGTGGATTATCTCTTGTGAAATCCAACTTTCATGCCTATCCCTGAGGCTTCCACTTAGCCCAAGTGGAATGCAATTATTTAATGACTATAGGAGCTTTGTGGCCCTGTCTGTAAGTGTGCTAACTCAAATGCTGGGCCATTCTGGTGCTGGAATCCACTAGCAGCTTTGTGAGAGAGATAGGTAATCTACTCCTGCATGATTTACAGCCTCAGAAACCCCATGGAGGATTTGGTATGGGTAGGTTTCCACTCTACAATAATCTTCAAAAGCCTCTACTCATTTCACCCGACAAAGTGTCACTGATTCTCACTGGAGCGGGGAATTGCTCTCTTTGACCTAGGATCCAGAACGTAAGATCAACCCGAAGATCAAAAGGTGACTATATATTGAACAACCTATTTTCTTCCTAATCTTTATTTCCATAACAATGTCCAAGTCCAAAGGGTCTGATTTCTTACAATCCTAAACTCAGTAACCATGGAGTTCCAATGACCTTGAATTACGAAATCAAAATCTGTCCCCTCTCTCAAATACAAATTTCTTCTTCCTTTCCTAAGGCGCCGTTTTAACTTTGTGAAATTTGACGCCACATCCTAGTCTTCGGTTGTCCCAGGCTTTTCTTTATAAAAGATCCTTCTCCAACGCCAGGACGCTAACCAGAATGGACTGTGTGTCCGCCAGGAGGAGGGCGTTCGTCCGCGTACCTGGCCCAGAGTGAGAAGCCACGCCCCGGAAGTAGTCTTTTATTGGTTTTCTCAGGCGGAGAAGTCAGGGTCCTGGCCTAGAGTCACCTGCTTCAGGGCGACTCAAGGATGCCTTAGAAGCTGGACGCTCTGGAGTGATAACTTTCACGTAATCTATGCGGCCTCTGGGGACAATGGCGTTGCCTTGGGAACAGAACGCTAAGGGGCCATTCGGAAGCAGTGCGCATGCTCGTAGTCATGGTGACTGTACAAACTTCCGTGTTTCCAGAGCCGCCACAGCCAATCAGCGGGCACTCCGCACCAGTGGGCTTAAGCTTCGGCCACTGCGACCCTTCTTCTGTTTTGTGCTGCTGTTTCTTCGACTGTATTCTCAGTGGGGCTCTCTGGTATGAAAGAACAGATTATAAAGATAAATCGCGTCCAAGGAGCGCCTGAGTTCATGCCATAGCACTGTAAACACCTTTTTCGGTCCACTCCTGCCCCCTACGCTTAAACGAGTGGATGCCTCTCGAAACTTCAGCCCTAATTATTCGCTTGTGATGGGGTTTTTACTGTCTTACGTGGCCCAGTAAGATTTGAGCATAGTTGTTAAGTGCTGTCCAGCGCCTACGACTCAGCGACCGTATGTATGTCCAGCAAATCTGAAGCAGGCCCTGGCCTGAGCCAGTCTCACTGACTACCACATACCCAGCCTGTTGCCCCAGTTTACTGTATCAATCCATCTCATCTCCTGTGCTGTCCTTCCACCCTTCCGCATGATGTCCTCCAAGGGTCAGTCCCTCCTGGCCACATGCCCAAAGTAGATGAGACAGAGCTTCAAAATCCTAGCCTCCAAGTTTCGAAACTTGGTTTCACCCTCTCCAAGACAGACCGATTTGTTTTGTTGGCGGTACATGACAAGTTCAAGACTTTTCTTTCGCACCACAACTCAAAGACCTCAATTCTTCTGTCATTCTTAGTCATTGTCTAGCTCTCTGATCATGGCCTGGATTAGACAGACGCACCTTAGGCTCTAGACTGACGTCGTTGCTCTTTAGCACTCTGAAGAGGTTCTTGACAGCAGATTTTCCTAATGAAATTCGTCTCTATTTCTTCACTGCTGGTGCCAAGAATGTTGATCGTGGAACCGAGCACACTGCAATTATTAACAATCGGAATCTCTTTTCCATCTATCATGGTCCTGCCAATATGCCCAATGGTGAGAATCTTTCTTCTTGGTGTTGCGCTTCAATCCATATTGAAGACTACAGGCCTTGACTGTAGCAAGTATTTCAGGTCCTCCCTTATTTTCAGCAAGCAAGATTGTGTCATCTGCATAACACAAGTTTTTTTATAAATCTTCCTCCAATCTTGATGCCACATTCCTCCTCAGAAAGTCTGGCTTCCTGAATAATCTGTTCCACATACAGATTGAAAAGGTATGGAGACAGGATGCATCCTAACAGACTCCATTCCCAATTTTGAACCATGCAGTGTTTCCTTGCACTGTTCTGACCAATTGTAGATTTCCAATGGGTACAATCAAGTATTCTGGACTACCCCTTTTTCTCAAGATTAGCCACAATTTGTGATCTACACAAATGCCTTTGCATAGTCAATGAAATAAAGATAGATCTTCCTCTGGTACTCTTTGCTCTCAGCCAAGATCCATCTGATATTGGTGATGTCTCTAGTGCCATGGCCTCTTCTAAACCCAGCTTGTATTTCTGGTAGTTCTCTGCCAATGTAATGCTCCAGTCGTTTTGGATACTCTTCAGCAAGATTCTGCTTGTATAGGATATTAGTCATAGTGTTCAACGTTTTCCACACTGTGTTGGGTCGCCTTTTTCTGGAATGAGAATAAATATGGTTCTCTTCCAGTGATTTAGCTAGGTTGGTTGTCCTTCAGATTTCTTGGAACAACCTGGTGAGCACATCCAGGGCAGCATCTGTTTGTTGAAATATATCAGTTGGTATTACATCAATTCCAGGGGCCTGGCTTTTTTGCTTCAGAGCAGCTTGAACCTCTACCTTCTTTACCATTGTCTCTAGATCATATGTTGTTTTGAGAAGTTCTTCTGTGTCAGCCAGTACTTTTTGGTACAGTAATTTTGTGGACTCCTTCCATCTTCTTTTAATGGATCATTAAATATTCCTGGATCATTCAATAATCTCCCCATGGCATGCTTAAGTATTGCAACTCGAGGCTTAAATGATTAGCTAATTGTTAGCATTCAGATAATATTTTCTCAAGAAGAGACACCTGTTTGGTGAACACTACCTAATCCACCATGATCCCGTCAGTGACCTGAAATAAAAAGGTACTCAGATTGACAAGTAGTGGGAGAAGACTGAACTGTGTCTTGATTCTTCAAGAAACATGACTTTTGACAGTCTTGTTTTTAAGGGAAATAGGAACTCTCAAGTGAACTAGCACACTGACAAAAAAAGTTGAAGCAAATATAGCCAACCTGCTCATTAAAACAGAAAAGCAAGCTGCTAATGACAGAAGGAAAATATTTACTAAAAGCGTGAAAATGTCTCTATTTGTTTTTTCCAAATCTAAGGCTAAAGTTTGATTGCCACTAGTCCTAGACAGCCTTTCTGGAATTTGGTTGTAGGAGGTATTTAAATTTAATGAAGGATCTCTAGGTAAAATCCAGGTGGTTTGTTAGCTTAAGGTTTTAATTCTTGAGCCAGAATTTTACAAAGATCACACCCTTTAAAGTTGAGAAAACTTTCAAAAGAATTATGTGGGAGCAATGACCTTGATTTCAAGACATCGGTGCTCTAGTTTTGATTGTGTGACCAGAAACAAGTCATAACACAGGGCTCCAATTTTTCTTACCTGTACAATAAACATTGCATACCCATTGACCTATTTCAAAAAACAGATGCTGCCCTGGATGTGTCCACCAAGTTATGCCAAGAAATCTGGAGGACAAATCATTATTTGTTCCCATTCCAAATGAAACTGGAGACTGCCTTTTCCATCTGCTTGAAGAATGGGATTGGTATTTTTATTGGGATTGCATTGAACGTGTAAATAGCCTTTGGCAGTATTGCCATTTTCACAATATTGAGACTTCCTATCCATGAACAAGGGTAACTCTTCCACTTCTCCAGATCTCTTTTTGTTTCTTGTAGTGTTTTGTAATTTTTTTTTTAATATCTCCTTTGTGTTTCTGGTTAGATTTACTCCCAAGTATTTAATCTTGTGATTCACTATTGTGAAGGGTATTGTTTTTCTTAGTTCAGGCTCTGTATTCTCTTTGTAGAGAAATCCAACTGTTTTTTGTATGTTGGTCTTGTATCTAGCTACTTTGCTGAATTGGTCAACTATATCCAATCGTTTATTTGCTGAGTCTTTAGGGTTTTTCTAGGTATACTATCATATCATCTGCATAGAGAGATAATTTTACCTCCTCTTTGCCAATTTGGATATCTCTTATTTCCTTCTCTTGTCTTATTGCTACCGCTAAGACTTCCAATACAATATTGAATAAGAGAGGTGAGAGTGGGCATCCTTGCCTAGTTCCTGTTCTTAAAGGAAATGCCTTTAACCTCTCTCCATTGAGAACAATGTTGGCTCTCGGGTTTGCATAAATATTTTTTACTATGTTGAAGAAATTCCCTCTAATCCTATTTTGTTGAGTGTTTTAATCAGAAAAGGGTGTTGGATTTTGTCAAAGGCCTTTTCTGCATCAATTGACAGGATCATGTGGTTCCTTTGCTTTGCTTTGT